TAAGAATTAATCGTAAAGCAATCCAATAAGGCTCGTTTTATAGTGTGAAGTTTCTACTTTCGCTGTTCTTTTTTTTTTCAAAGATGTTTCCATATCATTTTGAAAGAGTTTATCTATCGAAAATTTTACAAATTCAAACAATTCTTTATAGATATTGAAAAACTTCTATCACATATAAATCTATGCATTCTAAAAATTGAAATTTCTCTACAATGATTTCTTACAATTTCTTACACGATCCTCTTCGCGAGGTTGCAAGAGTTTAAGACGTCAACAATTTTCCACCGAAAAAATGTACGAATACTTTCTACACTAGCTGCAAACGTTGGATTCCACTGTAATCTCATATCGCGACGACATGATAAAAATTACTCCCCCGTTATTCACGCACGCGACGACCGTGTCCAGGTTCGAAACAAGAAGGCACGATTCTGATTTTTCACTCTTTCAGAGACACAAACGATCTGCAAACACTTTGACATTGCAAGGAAGGAAACCCTTCGCCTCGTTCGTTACGCTTCAAAACTACGAATCGAACAAATCGAGTAAATCAGAATCGTGATTTCGACAAAAAAAAAAAAAAAAAAAAAAAAAAAAAAAAGAAACGTTGACGAAACTTTGATCGTTTCGTTGTGCTCATCACTTACCGGTGATGACGAGACGTCCCTTGGTGGCAGACAGTCTTGTTTCCCCGGTGAGTCTATGCTTGGTGCGGCACTGGTAGGTCTTGTATCCGTCCTCGGGCCCGACATCGCGAATGTGAAGCTCACCGGACGGCAGCACCAGGTATTTCCCATCTGTTCGTGTGTCATCGAGCCGACACAGGATTGAAAAGTACACAGATTATTTCGTGCGGCGTTGATTCGACCACGAAAGGTCGACAATTTTCTAACCAGGGATAATTGACTTATCGGGAAAGCCCTATCGGTATCGGTTCTATTGGAACGGAATTTTAATAGAGCTAGGACGACACTTTACGCTCAGCAGTGTGCAAAGTTCATACCCGATACCCGGTCTGGCAATCAGAAATATTCAATTATCCCGACGACCACACGATACTCGGATATGCGCGCACACACGAGTACAATGCCGTCTTGGTTAATACATTGGCCCACATGCGCTCCATTACCTTTTGCTAGCTACGGCCAAGTTCGTTGAACGTTGAACAGCGACTCGGACTCTTTATCTGTCTCGCGCTTTCATCGTTCGACGAATCATTTCGGCGATTCAGGCTCGTTCGTCAAACAACCAACATCGGGAGGGAACATCGAGTTTGCATTGTTTGCATGGTACATGGAACGTGTTGTAAGAACACGTGCTCTCGGATTTGTTGATCCACTATCACGATATTCCCTTTAATCCTTTTAATCCGGTTTCTCGCAGAGGAAACTAGCTTTAATTTTATCCGCCAGCCGCGAATCGTGAAGCACTGTTTAACCCTTGGCACACTGAATGGGGTCACTCGAGTCCCTGGCTCCGATAGACGTGCGTATTAATTTTTTTTTTTTTTTTTTTTT